GGCGGTTTGTTTGTTGATGAGGTTATAATTGCTGTAAGTGGGTTGGATGTGAGTCTGTGAAATGACTTCAGTATTGTCTGTGCTGTTGGTGTTGCTTGGTCCGTAGCTCCAGTTCAAGGCAAAGCAGATAGCCAAGGCCACGAGCTGGCAAACACTCAGTGCTGGCGTTAGCCTGGCCCGTTCCCAGGCTCCCTTCACCTGTGAACGGGGGCACGCAGGGCAGGAGCAGGGCTGTGCAAGCGAGCACATCGTGTCATCTGGGTGCACGTGCTAGTGAACCCCACGGTCTGCAGAAATCCGCAGCGGGAAGTATGATCCACGGCTCCGTGTGGAGCGTGGGGCGGTGTGCCCGGCAGCGTGCGTGGCCGCTCCACACGCTGTCTGCTGGCACGGCACAGCTGGGCTGCACGTCCTGGTGCATTCGTCATGTTTCTGAAGGACAGGCTTGCTAACCAGCAAGGTTGAATGAAACCCATCCTCTCCAAAAGTCATCCTCTGTCTTGTCTTCCCGTGGGTGAAGCGCCTGCAGATTCCCAGGTGCCTCAATAGCTGATAGCTGCTTGTGGACGAAGCAGCGCTCTGGGGCTCGTTTCTACTGTGTAAGCCAGCGGGGGCTCGAGCTGTTGGGATAAAAACTTCCCTTTTCCTTTGGTGACAGGAGTTTTAAGTGCCAGTAGCTATCAGGTGTCTTTTCAGTTGTCAGACTCAGGCCAAACTGATCCCTGGTGGTTTTAACTGAAGCTTCATGGAAATGAGTCCCATTAAAACAGTGAGGTGAGGGAGGCAAAAAGCAGCGTAAACAGGCGGACGCAAGAGAGGAGTCTTTGTTCTTGTGTCCCCAGAGCAGCCCAGCGTGGTCTGGGAACAGTGTGGTGTCCCCAGCTAGGAAAACAGCACCTCTCTGTCTTTGAACTTCCCTGACCTTTTACGTTATTTCAGTCTCATTCTCTGGAGTTCAAGGTACTGGCTGTGCTTCAGGAATTCGCAAGCATAAACACTCATCAGTGTGGCTGGCACTACGATGAGATGAAAAGGGAGTTGAGAAAGAATAAAACACATCCAAAAACCAAACAAAAAGTGTACAGGGTTTGTAAACAAAGCATGTAGAGCTTCCCTAGTGCTGCCCAGAATGCCCATTTCCTTCCGCCCTCCCTTCCCTTCTGGGCCCAAGGCTCTTTCAAAGCAATACGGGGCTTCTCTCATAACTTTGATACAGCATATAAATTAGGGAGGTTTTCACTTAAGCCAGGACAACTCATTAGTAGGAAATTCCGAAGTCTGCTGAGCAGCTGCGGGCTTTGCTGCGAGTGTAGTTTTTCCGCAGCCTAACTGTAAATCTAGGGGTTTTTATCCCTTCCTGTGCCTGCCGTGCGTGGGGAACCTTGCTGTGCTGAGCTAGGCTGTGTGCCAGCGGCACATGGCTGCCCACTCGTGCACTTTTTAATGTTGCATCTGTCCTTGAGTTCTAAAAAAAAAATCTCTTTGGATTTAGTGCTACTGAAGTATCGTGAAAACTGGCAGTACCAAAGCAAGAAGCCTGACTCGGAGAAAATCTCCCATCCAAAGTCTGTTCATGTGCTTTCCCCTCTGCCTTTGGGATGAGGTTATTGCGCTGAATGTGATATAACCCAATTTAAAGTTTTACGAAAAACTTCCAGGCCTAGATTGACTCCCAGGTTTTGGGACACGTTGGCAGTGCTACCTACCATTCTGGCATTGAACTATCTGGAACGTGTTATATGGAGAAGCATTGAAGCGCACAGGTGACCACTTCTGCATGTTTTGTGCTGGATATTTTACGCAAAGTCAGTCTCACTTGTCCTGGTGAAGCTGTACGCCAAGTAGACCCTCCTTCTTTCCCCTGCTTCACCATCCAGTCTCTCGGGGTAGCAGGCTGTTACCAAGCAGACGTTGTTTCTGGACACATCCACTCGGCATACAGTGTGCACAAAGTGCTGTCCAGCCTCTGCTGCGGAGGGGAGCCCTTGCCAGAGCGCTGCCTTCGCAGAGGCTGTCGCAGAAGATCACCAGCTGCTCCCTCACTTGCACCAGCCGGCCAGCCCGTGTATGGCTGCACAGGCTGTCCAGGAGCAGTGATAAGCATTCTTTGAGTTTTTTATCTTTTGCTTTTCCTCTGCCTGTGAAACATCTGTAAGTAATTAAATCCGCATTTCAGCCTGCCTCTTGAGCGGCAAGCAGACAGCAGACACATATGGGCTAGCACGTGCAACCTACAACCAGCTCCTGTAACAGCTGTGAAATCCAACATGTGCCATTCCCTGTGACTCGCACGCCGCCTGCCAGCTCTCCCCAGCATCCACGGCGGAGGCCCAGGGACCCTCTCGAGGCAGGGATATGCATGTGGAGCTATGCCTCTCCCCTTCAGCTCCCGCTGGTACTCAGATCCCACGCTGGCTTCTTGATGGCCTTCGAAGTCTGTGCTGGCCTCTTTTTGGATGCTCAAATGTATGTTCTCCTCAAGCAGACCCAACCGAGACATTGGCTGCTTTTGCAGCCAGCTGAGGTGTGCTGGTCTGTTCCCCATCCTCTCCCACACCAAGCTGCATACCTCTGCTGCCATCAACCACAAACGCGAGTTCGGTCTCACTGATTTTCTGACCTGGCATCTCATCTAGAAAAGTACACAAAGCACAGCTAAGGTCACACTTTGGTGATACTGTATTTTAAACTACATTTTTACTAAAGCTGGAGTCACCTAGGTAGAGATTCACCTGTGTGAAATCTCCTCAGTTCTCGACACTCCACCTTGAAACTGGGATGATGCTGTAGCACCTAAGGAACCAGAGACTTTTTCTTCTGGTTTTGGCTTCCCTGAATCCTTTTAACATTGATGACTTTATCCTTTCTCCTGCCCTATTAAGGACCATGTGCCCTCAGGAGTGCTTTATACATATGGAGGCTACAGCTGGATTATCTTCTTGTCATCTAGTTTATTTAGCTGGCTGTGCCACTGCAGAGCAGCTGGGTAGGTCCTGTCCTAATGTACTCAAGGAAGCGGTAACTCAGGGCTGTGTGAGAACTGCTGGGCAGCAAACTGGAGAAGGTTGAAGAAGAATCACGTGAATTATGCTGAGTTTAGACTTGGAAAGTGTGTGATTGATAGTGCTTGTAAATGTGTTTCGATTGCAACCAGTTTCTAATGTGAGGTGACCTGATAGGCACGAGCTTGCCACAGGGAAGCCAGAGAAGAGACAACTGCACGTGCAAGAGGAAGACACTAGATAGAAAAAGCACCTCCAAAAACGTCTGGAAGCACTGCGCAAATGAGGGGGCTGTCACCCTCTGACAAGGTGAGTGGTCCTTCCCTGACCAGCCATCAGGCCAGTGCCAGAGCTGCACCCACAGCCTGGGCTGGCAAGTCATGCCATGGAGAGAGAAGGCCCACATAGCAGGTAGGACACTGTCCTTGTGTGTCACCGCTGGCCTGGCACTCCCAAGGGCCACAGCTGTATGACTGCCTCCAAGCTGCAACTGTCTTCCTCACGTCTGGTTCGTCAGAGGGAAGCCACTGTGGTCCCCTGTCTTTGAGCAGTAGTAAAACATGAGCTGGGCATCTAGCAAATGTTGTAGGGTGCCGTCTCTCCACACTCACATGGCCAGAGTTCAAATTTGGGATGCTAACCTTTTAAATTCACCAACTGGCCAAAACGTGACCAGTTCCCAGACTCACAGGACACAATTAAAGCCTCATGAGAAAGAAGTTGCGTGGTACCTTACTGTCTGTCTTAGTGACTTGAAGATGCAGGGACAGGACGGCAGCAGCAAGCTGCCATATTCATTACTCCTGAAAAGAAAATGAGGTCCTTTTTTTTGGAAGTCCACTGCAAAGAACTTACTGGGAAGGAAAGGGTAGTTCAGTGAAGCAGGACATCTGTGCTTAAAATGCTTTGTTGTTCAAGGGAAGACGAAACAGCAGCTAGCGACAACAGCCTAGCACTGATGTGTTGTTCACAAGCACTCCCTGCTTGTATTTTACCAGTGATGTGGAAGGTCACAGGGCTAACCCAGGTGAGAGGATGAACCAGCAAAGGGTTCTCCCTGCGGGGTGGCAGCGTGGTCCTTAGTGCACATTGCCTACTGACTCCTGTCAGCGGGGTCTCTGTGCCTTTGAAAATTTGAGGTGGGGAGATGGTTTTGCTTATTTTGGAGAGATTTTGGTATAACCCCATGCCTGTAGCTGTAAGAGATTGTTTCCCTGCAGGTAAGTTGATTCTTTAACCCTTTGATTTTCCAGCTGGGGGATACAGCAGCTCAGGTGAAGTGAGAGCCTCCACAGAACAGTAGAAGCATAGTTTCCTCTAATCTGTTATCCCTGAAACATGTACCTGCCTTTAATTAGTGGTAAAGTCAGTTGTTTCAATTAGTTTTCACTCCATCCCCGAAGTCCAGAGGCAGGTAATACTGGTAAGTACAGTGATCTGCTAGTGCAGAGGCAGCTGGTGACTGGAGGAATCGGACAAGAACCTTGTCCCCGGGGGCATGCAGCAGAGGAGCAGCAACTGCTCCCTCCCTGCAGCCAGCAGTCCTTCCACTGTTACTTCTTGGAAACAGCCAAGCCAAGTCACCCTCAGAACAAAAAATCCTTCAACCTGCCAAGGGAGAATTGCTTTTCTGTGCCTGCCCTGCATGGTCAGGAGGGCTGGCTTGTAGCTGAGGTCAGCACCAGCACTCCGGAATCAACCAGAGCTGGAAGCTGAGGAGAGAAAGTCACTGAATCCCCTTCTCTGAAAGGGAAAGAGGCAATGGGTGCCTCTCAGGAAATCCACCATGGGCAAGCTGCTCAGCAGGGAGATGGGTTTGGTTTTTTTAAAACTCAGCAAAAAAACCTCCAAAACTCATAGGAAGTACAGCAGTGTTACAGCTAAGATTTGTAAAAAAACAAACAAAACCAAACACATTTAAAAAAAAGGATCAGTTTGACATTCAAGTCAGTAATGAAGACAACCAGCACCGAAGTACAGAGGACTAACTTTGTCAGTTTATTACTGGGCACAGCACAGTACCACTTCATACACATACAAGCCACAGTAATACAAACAGTCCCTCTCCTTTTTTATAATCAAAACCCCACATGGTATCCGGGAGGAGTCAAATGTCCCAGGGGTCAGCTCTCAAGAGCTGTTTTGCTGCAGTTGCAGCAGTTTTCTTAACAAATACTATGGGCTTTCATACTGTTGATACATGAAGCTGAGAAGTCTGAGCCTACAGCAGCACCTCTGCTCAACACCAATCAAGGCAGGCTCTGCAGCAGCTCCAGGACTCACAAGTATGCTCAGTCACGGTCCTTCACAGCCAAATAAAAGCATCACCAGACAGGCACCCCGGTACGGAACTAGAACCCTCAAATGTTTCTACAGAAGCCCACGTTATCCTGAAGCACCACAGGTTCATCCTGGGCTAGCTGAAATGCTGCTGCTGCAGCACCCAGCCAGCCATCCTGCAGGCAGCACAGACTTCCCACGCAGGCAGGACCGTTTCTTACTGTGTTGGTTAGCAGCACAAGGTCAGCGGAGCTTGGGGAAAAGCTTCTGTTATTAAAGCAGGGCTTAGCTCCTCAGAAAACTGATTTAAAACTAGAAGGCACAAATGCAAGGTTGTATGTGGGCTGCATACAACTGTGGCATGTGAACAGTTTAGATACCCCTCGTAAGGGGAAATAAAACACATAATAAATACGACATTTTAGAAAATAAGTGCATCACTGTGATCCTTCACAACATAAGGAAGTAGGATCCACAGGAACCTACGGTTCACTCCATATTGCACAGAAGTCCTGAAATTTAGTGTCAGGTCATGGTAGTGGAGGTGGGACATGGCAGGGGAGTGGGGTGGTGAAAAAAGGTCTTATTTGGCAGAACCTGCCCAAGTCTCCACCACCACAAACAGCTTTTCGCCAATCTGAGGTAGAGTTACATATATACTGCTTAAACCCAGTCAAGTCCTGCTCAACTAGTCTTCAAAGAAAAAAAAAAAGTGCACAGAATAGATGAGCCTCTTTCTTCGCTAAAGAAAGTGAGGTTTGACCCCTGGAAGCAAGCCTTACAGAGCAAAGTTCCAGCGAAGATCCCTGCTCCCCTCCTGGAAAGCAGCAACAGCTATCATGGTGCTACAGGTAAGGAGTGTAACAGGTACTAATTGCAAGTCCTACAGCAAGCATGTTTTACTCCTCTTCCTCCCTCCCCTACTACTTGCTAAATGTCCCTTTATTCACTCAGTCCAGTATATTTTATCAGAGTTAAGATTGTCCCCACTGCTTTCTCCCCTATGTCCCTTCTACTGGGACCCTGCAAAAAATTATTTCAACTCTTAGACTTCTGAGGGTCGCTTGCAGTTTCTTCTAGGGACTCCTCTGTGCAGTACAGGCACGGAAGGATGGAAATAAGAGCCTCTTCGATGGAGAAGAGATGTTTATCCTCTGCTTGAGGACAAAAGTAGCGCATAAAGTCTGCCAGTCTCAGCAGATACTCAATGTTGTGACCAGCACAACCGCTTGAGACGATGATCTGAGCTGCAATGTCTTCTTCAGACGCCGGGCCAAGGTAAGAAGGGTTTTGGGGTGTTGCAATGTAAACAAGAGCCAGGATGGGTTCCTCTGCATCTTTCTCCTGAGGGTGAAACTTCACCAGCTTGGTGTCGTAGCCTCCCAGGACAGCTTCTCGCATGTTGAGATACTGGAGCGATGCAGCAATTTGTTCCCCACGGACTTCGTAGGCCACACCCCACGTGCATGCCTGAAAGTGAAAGAGCAAGGCGGTGACGGGATGCTCTAACTGCAGCGGACGCGGCCACTAAAGTTTCAAAGCGAGCCTGCCTTGCCGTGGGGGTCTCAGCACTGCGGACAGCAGGGCAGGAGGGTACCGCCACCCCGCCCCCCAGTCCCGGGGGGGGCAGAAGAGCACTCGGCTGCCGACACCAGCTCCCAGCCGCCGATGCGGGGAACACCGCCCAGCCCCGGTACTCACCCCGCCGTCCTCCAGCAGCGTCACCACCCGGCCGGGCTGTGAAGGGAGAGGCGAGAGGAGAAGCCGTTAGAGCCGAGCCC